TCTCCATAAAAATTGCATAAGACAAATTAAACAAAAATGAGTCATGCTTTATCCAAATATTTCCAAACTCTTGAATGTTTTCCAAATTTTAGGATGAATAGTTTTACTACCTCCATTTCCAAATTATTTATTGTCACCCTGAAATAAATAAGCTGCTTTTTAAATAAAAGTTTCATCATGGGAATTTTTATGTGATTTTTATGAAAACTGATGGCTACAACACTAATGTCTATGCCAGTTTGAGACTTAATTGCAAAGTTCCAAAGATACTTTGGAAATTATTCTTTGCTTTTTTTTCTTCAACTAAACTCACAAATGAAACTGTGAACTTGAATGAGCCCAATAAGTCAATAGTATAGGGTGATTTTAGCTCATGATTATAGATGAAAAATTAAGTCAATAGGACAAACTGAAACCATTTAAGCACTACTTCATAAACAAAATAATTTAATAAGCACTTAAAAGGTTTTGTGCATCAAAATCATTTTTTGATAACATAATAATAATTACACAAATATTAAGTTAAAACTAGACCTGCCCTACAGGAAATGTTCAAAAGTGCAATACAGATGGAACAGAACAATAGATACCCACCAGTGTAAAAACACCCAAAAGTTAAAGCTCACAGCTCTTATAAAACAGTAGCATAAGAGGGAAAACAAAACAAGGTATCACTCAACATGATGAACAGAACAGTATACCATTTATCAATAGTAACACTGAACATGAATAGTCTTAATGCTCCACTTAAAAGACATAGACTGGCTGAATGGATGAAAAAATACAAGCCAATTATAGGCTGTCTTCAAGAAACCATCTAACTTGCAAGGACTCTCACAGACTCAAGGTCAAGGGATGGAAAAATATTCTATACAAATGCAAACCAAAAGCCAGCAGGTGTAGCCATTCTTGTATCAGATAAAATACACTTTAAATCAACAATGGTAGAGGAGGACAAAGATGGTCATTATATAATGATTAAGGGAGGAATTCAGCAAGAAGACATAAAAATCCTAAATATATATGCACGTAACACAGGCACTCCCAGATTCATAAAACAAATCTACTAAATCTAAGCAAGGAAATAAACAGTAGCATCATAATTGCTGGGCACTTCAACACCCCATTGACAGAAGTGGACTGATCACTGAAGAAGAGAATCAACACAGAAACATTGGACTTAAATAGGACTCTAGAACAAATGGACCTAACAGACATTTACAGAGCATTCTACCCGAAAACTATAAAATATATATTCTTCTCATCAGCACATGGGACATTTTCCAAGATTCATCTTGGCCACAAAACAAGTGTCAGAAAGTTCAGAAAAATTGAAATCATATCATATATCTTCTCATACCACACGGGAATAAAACCAGAAATCAATTCTAAGAGAAACTCTCAAGTCTACACAAAGTCATGAGAATTAAACAACCTGCTGCTGAATGATCCTTAGGTCAATGATGAAATTAAGAAGGAAATCAAAAGATTCTTTGAACTGAATGACAAAGGGTACCAAAAGCTTTCA